CTAAAGAATTGTTAAAGCTCTCAAGATTCTCAAGAACGAGTTCTGAAGACTCTGAAGACCAGGTTCTGAGGAACAGTTTTAAGACTAAAAATTAAAGTTTTAAAGCTTCTTTCAACCAGTCTCTTGATCCTTCTAAACACGTTTCAATATTATACACTCAAAAGCCTATAAAGATTAAAAGATAAAATTAAAAGGTTTTACGTGAGAAAAATAATACATAGTACAAGATCAAATATTCCTTCCATTACACTGATTTCGTGGAGTAAGGACGATACTATCGTACCATTTTCTCTCCCACCTATACAGACTGTTATGCAAGGTGACATCTCATTTATAAAGATGTCCATTCTACCCTCCAACGGATCTTTTCATGCCTGTATAAAGGAGACTTGGAAGAATGAATGAACCTGCTAATTTACGAGACTGCGTTATTCACGCTGTTGGTGCAAAGGTAGAGTAAATGATGAATAGAGAAATATTCTATTAAGAGAATGACGGCTACACACACAACCACAAATTGCAATGATTGCTACCCTATTTATAAGCTAAAAACTAGGGTTACTAGAATAAGATAAAATACTAAAATACCCTCTAACAAACTTAGGGGCTAAGTAATAGTACAACTAAATATGAATTACTTCTAATACCATCCCTTAATTCATATTCCATCAAAACTTGTAACACCAAGTCCATCCCTTAGTCTGAGAAATTGATCAGTCTTGATAGCTTTTGTCAGAGCATCTGCCAATTGTTTTTGAGTGCTGCAGTGTACAACTTCTAACACTCCACTCTGAACTTGATGTCACAGAAAATGATACTTGGTCTCAACATGCTTGATTCTCCTATGCAACACTAGGTTTCTGGCAAGATTGATTGCAGACTTGTTGTCAATCATCAACTTCAGAGGTTTGTTTATTTTAATCTTCAGATCCTGCAACAGATTCAGAATCCACACAGCTTGGCATGCAGTAACAACACCTGCAATGTATTCAGCTTCACATGTTGATAACGCCACAACAGGTTGCTTCTTGGAACACCAAGAAACGGGCCCTCCCAGAAATTTGAACAAGTACCCAGAGGTACTTCTTCTGTCAACTCTGTCTGCACACCAATCAGAATCCGAATAACTCAGAAGTTCTGACTCATTCTTCCTTCCAGAAGGAAATAACACTCCATACTTCAGAGTTCCCTTGATATACCTCAGAATCCTGACAACAGCTTGGTAATGGGACCACTTAGGTTTACTCATGAACCTACTAACCATCCCAACAGAATAGCAAATATCAGGTCTGGTATTGCACAGATACCTCAGAGAACCAACCAACTGTTTGAAGGTTGTAGCGTCCACATCCTTTCCATCAGAGTCAGAATCCAGTTTCTGATTTGTATCAGAAGGTGTGACAACAATCTTACAATTCTTCAGTTCAAATCTCTTCAGAAGTTCTAATTCATACTTGAGCTGATGCAAAATGATACCTTTCTCAGAATATCTGAACTCCATCCCTAGAAAGTATGTCATTTTGCCTAGATCAGTCATTTCGAATTCATTCATCAGAACTTTCTTGAACTTGGCTATCTTCTGTTCAGAACTTCCAGTCAGTAGTATGTCATCAACATATAAACACACCATAGTCATATTGCCTTCAGAAGTATGCTGAACATAAACACCGTACTCCATCTCACATTTCTGAAAGCCTTGCTTCTTGAAAAATGAATCAATCTTCTGATTCCAAGCTCTGGGCGCTTGTTTCAGTCCATATAGAGCTTTGTATAATCTGTACACCATCCCTTCCTGATTCTTTTTCACAAATCCAGGAGGTTATGACACGTAAACTTCTTCTTCTAATGGACCGTTCAGAAATGCATATTTAACATCTAAATACATCAGAGGCCAATTCCTGTTAGCAGCTATTGCAATCACCATTCTGATTGTTTCATGTCTTGCTACAGGTGCAAACACTTCAGAATAATCCAGCCCCGGTTTCTGTAGAAACCCTCTAGCTACCAACCTTGCTTTATGTTTGCCAATTGAACCATCTGGCTTTAACTTCTGCTTGAAAACCCATCTGACGCTGATGGCTTTCTTGTCTTTTGGAAGTTCTGTCAGCTTCCAAGTCTTGTTTCTCTCTATAGCATCAAGTTCTTTTTTCATGGCCTTCAGCCAGAGCTTATGCTTAAGAGCATCTTCTGTACTTATGGGTTCAGAGTCTACTATCATGGCACACTGAATAACTTCTGCTTCAGAGTCTACTTCAGTGTCTTGCAGCATGTCAAATTCTGCATATTTTCTGGGGACGTTTCTTATTCTTTGTGGTCTCTGAACTTGTTTAGAGTCTTGAGCTTCAGAGTTTCTAGCTTCAGATGATTGACTTCCTCCAGAGCTTTGACCATCTTCAGAGTCTGGCATATTTCCAGAGTCTGAATTGCCACCAGAGTCTGGATTGACATCAGAGTCTAGATCATCAGAGTCACCTTCATCTTATTAGTGATCAGAATCATTCTGGAGATGTATTCAGAGACTTTCTCATTATTTTTCATGTTGAGATTCTCATATTGCTTTCTCAAGGACTGAAGCTTCACATTCTTCACTGATGCGTCACCACCATGACATCTCACCAGTGTGTCCCACGCAGCCTTTCCTGTCGTTGAATCTGCAATCTTCTCAAACACATTTACATCCACACATTGATGAATGAAGAATAATGCTTTCTGATCCTTCTTTCTTACTTCCTTCTGCGTGTTTTTCTGTTCATCCGTCGCATTTGCTGCTACCGGAACATAACCATCAGTGATAAGATTTAGAACATCTTGAGCACCGAACAGTACACGCATTTGGATCATCCAATGATTCCAGTTTTTACCGTCAAATACTAGAAGTTTGGTGTTCATGTTGTCGTTTCCGTTCATCTTCTACCTTGCACAGTACACTCAGATTTCTCACACAGTGTTTCCCAACCCACAAAATTATTCTGATCAGATTTTGTTCAAGATTCAACACGAATCTAAGAAACAAAATCAAACACACAAGGCCTCACGTTCACTCGTATTTCCCGTGTTTCCCAATGAATCCGAACCGGAGCTCTAGATACCAATTTTTGGTGCAAAGGTTGAGTAAATGATGAATGGAGAAATATTCTATTAAGAGAATGACGGCTACACACACAACCACAAATTGCAATGATTGTTACCCTATTTATAAGCTAAAAACTAGGGTTACTAGAATAAGATAAAATACTAAAATACCCTCTAACAAACTTAGGGGCTAAGTAATAGTACAATTAAATATGAATTACTTCTAATACACGCAACACAACACTTTTGCTGAACATATTATTTTTGTGAATAGAAAACACACATAGAGCTTTTATTCGTTATTATGTGAATATTTCATTGTACTTAAACTTTGTGTAATATGCTTTCTTGAAGTAACTTTGCAAGCACAATATTTGTATCACATTGTCTTGAGGTTGTATTCCTGAGAGACTAGGGTTTTAGTCAGGATTCTTGAGAAGACAGAGACGGATAGTCTTTGTGTATCTGTAGTCAGGTCGATTATAGTGGATTAAGTCCTTAATGTGAAGGCAAAATCACCTTGGCGGTGGACTGGATTAGCTTCATTAACAGCTAACCAGTATAAAAATATTTGTGTTAATTTATTTTTACTCTTGGTTCTTTTTTGAGTGATTAGGTTCTAAAAAGTTTTAATCTAAGAAACCCAATTCAAACTCTCATTTTTTATGTTTCTTGCCACCTTCAATTGACAGCAGAACTCCAATTTTGGTATTGATTTCATATCAAACACTTAACTATGTTAGATAAAGATTTAGTTTGAGAAATAATATGGCGGTATTCCACCACCTCCACCTGTTGTTAATGATAGAGATCATTATATCGCTAAACCTCTTATTTTTAACGGAGAAAGATTAGATAATTGGAAAGACAGAATATAAAGTTTCTTTCTTGGTCACGACGTAGATCTAGGGGATATTGTAGTCTATGACTACATATACCCAGTAGATGCAACCATTCTTGCAGACGTATGAAAGCATACGAACATCACAACCACAATTTCTTCCTCGATGGCTTCGCACAGTTGACAAAGATATGATAATGGGTTTCAGAGTACTTGTTCTTGAACATGACATCTAAGGAGAAGAAAGAGGACATATACAAATGTAATTAGGTTATAATTTTTGCACAGATGAAAAAGTTATGACTGCAATTAAGTTACAACTTTCAAAGGAGTAGATACAGGATGAAGATGAAAGGGGAAGCAAGAGGACACAAACAAATGAAATTAGGTTACACATTCACCATATATGTTATGTGTAGTCTCCTTACACATGTGGTAATTAATACATGTCCAATTAATTAAAAAAGAAAGTCAAATCAGCATCTACTTAGGATGCCGTTAAGTGGAATAGACGATTTAAATGAAAATTAAGGACTAAAAAATTTAGGAGAATGATTCTTTAAACAAAAATGTTGGAGAGACTAAAATTGAACTTTGATTTATTGATAAAGATTTGTAACATATTTAATCCTAATTTATTATATATTTTAGAAATTTACTTTAAAATGAAATATATATTTACTTTAAATTATTTAAAAATAAAATATTGATAAAAAGCCGTGCGTTGCATCCAGTATATCGCGTATAAATTCCGTCAAAACAAACATATATATCTACCCTTTAAATTATAAACCCGTACTGTATACTTCCTTCCTCGCTAAGTCCGCAGCACCGTTGGTTTGATTTTTCCTCGCCGTCGTAAGTTCTCTCCTTCAATTCATCTTTCTCTCACTACTTCTGTTTCTGTTTTTATGCTTATTTTACAAACCCTCATGCTTTATCGAATTCGTCGTTTCGAACCCTAGAATAGAGTCTTTACACGCAATGATACTTCAAATTACATCAATTTTCGTTGTTAAATTTCCATAGAATCCTAATTATCACCTTTTATTTTATTCGCATTGAATTGTTTATGCTTTTATCTCAGATGGTAGCTAAACCACTTACCACCGAGCTCGTTGCTCTTACAGAGAAGAAGATGGACATGACATTAGGTTTGTTTTTTGTTATATGACATTGATAACCTTTTTCTATAACATCTTTTATATTATTTTTGACGTATTTAACGTTGGTGTTGTTCACAGATGATATAATCAAAATGTCTAAAAACCCTAAAGTTACAAAGCAAACTAGGGTTTCGGTAAGTGTTTCGCATTTGAAGATTATTTTGCCTATTTGTGTATTCATTGTAGTTAATAGTTATTGTTTTGCTTGATTCATATTCATGTCTATGCAGAACAAGAGCAAAACGTTTATGAACACTTTTGCACAAGATAAATCTTTGAAGGCGCGGCGATATATGGAGTCGAGATCTTCTCTTAGACAAGTATGTATATGAAGTGTAGTCAGCTTATATTATGTTTGTATGTGTACATATTTTCAATGTTAACACGATTGATTGCGGTGATCAGGGAGTTCTTGCAAAAAGAAGGTCAAGTTTTCAAGGAAATCAATTTCCCCTTGCAACTGAGGTTGCGCGTAAAGTTGTTGCTGCTCCTCTGCATTATGGAGTTGCTAATCGAAATAAGATGGCTAACTGGAATAAACCAAGGTAGTATGTTTTTCTTTGATTGCTATGTGAGCAAATGTTAAGCATTTGAACATGAGAGAAAGTTGGGGGTGAACATTTTAATGTTGAGTGACGTGGTTGAGCGCTTTGACTAATTATATTTGTAAATCGATGCATCATTGCAGGTAACCCATGGTCCATTTGTGATATTGATGACATCATAAATGTGCCTCCCATTTATAAGATTTTTTTCTCTGCAAAAGGAGTTGGTCTGATATTATGAATGAATTGAGAGCCAGTCACATGTTTATGGAATTCTGAAATGCTTCCATTATATCATAGTAACTTTATCCTGCATATACTTCATGGATTGATGTTTGATATACTTTGGAATATGGATGTTCATTCTACATAAGTGGAGTTATGTTGTTTGAGCAGACAGGTGATGTGAAGGGATATTACTAGATAGAAGAAACCTGTTGTGCCAGAAGCATGTCACTAGGAGTGATAACTTAAGACCGTTCTTCCTAATGCATCTGATTCTCGTCATGAGGGGACTGTTACCGTAAAACCATTTCAGGGCAATCATAAATCTGACTTGCCGGGGCAGAAGACAGCATCATCTGTCAGACGTTGAAAAATCATGACAGGAACTTTAGTATGACAAAAATGTAGTAGTAGAACATGAAAGGGGCACAATAGTTTAATTTTACATTATAAAGTGAAGTTTAAGACTTTGGGGAGACATGACACTATTGTGCCCCTAGCTCTGCCCTTGGTCCCATTAGAAAAGCACAAAAGGCAGGACGATATTGTTTTTCCTATTTAGTGGCTGGTCTGTATTGAGAAACAGCTTTGGAGTAGTTCAGTTTGTTTGGTAGGGCTGCAACATAATAAGAACCTTTTATTGTGAGCTTCAGTTCAAAGGGATAAGCTCATGTTATTATCATTACATATGTATATGCATTCAACAAGACGTTGGTTATAGAAATCTGATGTTTTAATTAGCTGTGTAATTGCTGCAAGTTTTGTTCAGTGGTCAGGAAGTTTGGGATGGTGCACCTACTACTTGCTACTTTAATATTTCATGTTGTCTGGTTCTTGTTTCTTTTTGCAATCACTACTAGAAACAAAATATGTTCATTACATGATAAGAAGATTAAGTCTAGAGTCACTGTTGTGGATATATCTGTGGGGAAATCTTTTGATTGGAAATCATGCATTTAAGTGGTGTTTTTCTGTGCCTGGTATGCATTGTGTTGGGAAGAGGATGCTCTTTAAATATTTGTTTATATGCAAGCTCTTTTTAGAACTTAACCAAGGTGTATATGGTGTTTGTTGGCGGGGAAGTGGTATCCTAGTTACCAAGCCAGATATTTGTTGCTACATTTACACAAATATGATTTTTTTGAAGTCATCTTTGAAGCCTTAGGGTCTTTTCAATTGGTCTTGCTTGGATTACAACCTCCGTGGTAGTAAAACTATTATGGCCTGTAGTGAGCTCGGTACAGTTGTTGGGCACTGCTAACACAGACTCCTGATCATGCTGCAGGCGGGGAAGATTTCTTGGGAAATTTAAAAGATGTTCCCCAATTTGATCTTCAAATATGCAAGCTTTGTTGTTATATTACTTCTGCTTTCTTTTTAGATGGTTTATATAGAATACTAGCATCAGCATTTTAGCAAGTGATAGATTAGTGAGCAATGTTTATACTTTTCTACTACAAACTATCCTTCGTACTGAGCATGTCAGATGCTAGTCAATGCTCTCGAGGAATATCTGGAATATTTACCATGTTTCTGCTCTTCAATTATTCAATTTTCTTTCTGGCTGCAGGTTCCAGTTTCCTGTGAATCAGAGAAGACCTGCTAGTGGAAGTTTTGCTGCTAAGGTGAGGCAATTTTCTTTTCAGGCCCCGTGTCTGTTATTATAGCTCAGCATGTTGCATTTGTTTTTAAATTTTGGAAGGTTGAATATGTTTTTAATTCCTATAAAAACACAATTTTACGTTTAGTTCCTGTAAAAATCTATAAAAATTATTCATTTTTAGTCTCAACCTTACAAAAACAAGGAAGGTGTTTTGAAAGATTAGTAGAGTAAAGTGATCATTCACTGTTATGGTGATTAGGTCGAACTCTTTATCATCAAACACTAAAAAGAAATAGTTGTGGAGCTGAATTGACGTATCTTCTTTTTATCTTTTAACATGGTTCCTTAATATCCATAGTCTTAAGATTAAGATTTATTCTGTTATGGATTAACAGAGGTCGTTCAGAAAGGGCATCATTGATGTGCAAAGCTTATTTGTTTTTTATTTATTTTTTTAATTTGTAATTGTATGTCACAGCCACCACCTCCCCTTCAGCATCAGCAGCAACAACATCAGCATCATTATCAGCAGCAAGATGTCAATATCAAGCCTAATAATCAAAGGCCTCATACACTGGATTCACTGTTTGCAAATATGAAGGAGCAAAGAATGAAAGCTTTCTCAAGGCAGAACAATGCTGTGCAGCACAATGGAGCCGGTAACGGGAGGTCACCATGGGGAAGAGGCCGATATGGCAACTGACTGATAATTTCATGGTGTCAGTCACTTTCAGTATAGTAGTATGCTTTGCCTGCTAGATTTCCATTCGTAGCAGGGAGGGCTAGATGTATCATTTGAACTCAGTAATCTTTTATTCATTTGGCTTTCATTGTATAGTTCACTTTTTCATGTGTTTGCTTTAACAATGATTTGTCTAGCTTATATGCTTCAATATGGAATTCCAACATATTGAATGTGAAGAATTTTTTTACAAATATACCCCCACTTTCCCACCTTAATTTTCAATATACATTTTCGGATTATTTCTTTTCATTACCAGTCCATGTACTGTTGTTTATCTTTATCATTTTACACTCACTAACTCTGCAACCAAATGGAAATAATTCAAATTTAATACATTCAGCTAAACATAAGATCAATAGCTAGCAAAGACTAGTCATCAATTCTTTTTACATGATTGCCTTCTTCGGTTGTTGATGCAGATGTTTTGCAAAATAAAAGATTAAGCTGATCAAGGAAAAACGAACTCTTCACTTGCTCCAACTGTTGTCGTTCTTTATTGAGATTTATTATATATTTTACTCTATCTTACTCTATCTTTCACGGGTGGAAGTTATTGTTATTATTACACATTTATGTGTTGTTATTAGCTGTTGCCGTTACCTTATATTTAGGAGTCATTTATTCTTGAAATTCTTAAGATTAGTAGATTTTGTAATAGAATGAATTCGATTTTGTAACAGAATGTATAGAGGTAGTCTTGTAATGTGTATATATAGTGATCCTAAAGAATGAATAGATAGAATTCACATAATACTTTTGTTGTGAATTTTAACATGGTATCATGAGCCAGGGAATATCCTAGGAAAAATTAAATACATTTTTTCTTCTTCTTCTTCCATATCAAGTACCGTAAGAGATTATGGCTGATAACAGTGATAATGACGAGAAGAAAGTTGATGACAACAGTGGTAATAAGGAGAAGAAGGTGGGTTTGGTGTTTTTCCTCGGCACCAATGACAATCCCGACAACGTGATCACACCAATACAATTGCGTGACCCGAATTATGATGAATGGGCAAGGGCAATTCGAACCTCGTTGCAAGCGAAGCGAAAATACGATTTTGTGGAAGGGAAAGTCCCAAAACCAACAACACCTGAGAAATTGGAAGACTGGACTGCAGTGCAGTCGATGCTCATTGCGTGGCTGCTAAACACTATCGAGCCATCATTGCGCTCTACTCTTTCTTATTATGATAATTCACAATCCTTGTGGACACATCTCAAGCAACGATTTTGTGTTGTGAATGATACTTGTATATGCCAATAAAAGGCATCGCTAGGAGAATGCAAGCAAGGCAAAGGTGAAGAGGTGTTGGCCTACTTCGGTCGTCTGTCTCGTGTATGGGACAAACTTATGTCAAAAAACTAACTTGCAAATGTGAAAGGTGTACCTGTGACATCAACTAACAAGTGATTGATTTGAGTGCTGAAGATTATCTGCTTCATTTTCTTATGGGCCTTGATGGGGTTTATGCGACGATTCGCTCAAATTTGCTTTCTCAAGATCCATTACCAAATATTGATCAAGCTTATCAGCCAGTCATTCAAGATGAGAGGTTGCTGCAAGGAGAATGTTCAATTCATCAGAACCGTGACAATGTCATGGGTTTTAAAGCTACAGCTGATACGCGAGGTAAATCTAAACTTGTGGACAATTCTGAAAAATTCTGTCCTCACTGCAATAGAGAAGGACACGACGAACGCTCGTGTTTTCAGCTTCATGGATTCCCCGAGTGGTGGGGACCGTCCTCGTGGTGGTTGTCGCCCGGGTCGAGAAAGAGACACATCAGGCCGTTCTGGAGGGCGTGGCAGAGGCACCCATAATGCACCTGTGCGTGCCAACAAAGCCACAACAAGTAGCCGTAGTAGCGGTGGTAATGGTGGACTGTCTCATGCACCACCACAATCAAGTGAGGTAGCATGTATATCAAGAATTACCCCAACACAATGGCAACAAATTCTCGACGCTTTGAATATTTCCAAAACTAAAGATCGCCTCCACGGTAAGAGTAAGATTTCTTGGATTATTGACACGAGAGCTTCACACCATGTGACAGGAAATTTCTCTTGTATGATTAATGTAAAAAATATTAGAAATACACCGGTGGGATTACCGGATGGGAAAGATGCCGCGGCTATAAAGGAGGGCAGTGTGATTTTGGATAGTAGATTGTGGCTCAATAATGTTCTTTTTGTGCCTCAATTAAATTGCAACTTAATTTCTGTAACTCAATTAATCGATGACTCTGATTGTATCGTTCAAATTACTAATCCATTGTGTGTAATACAGGCCCGGACGACGAGGATGTTGATTGGAGTGGATGAACGGATCAATGGACTTTACTTTTTTCGGGGTGTTCCGAAGATGCATGCCTTGATGGTGGAAGGGGATTCAACATTAGATTTATGGCATAAACGTTTAGGTCATCCATCAGAAAATGTGTTAAGGTTCATTCCTCATGTAAGTCAGTTTGGTAGGAGCAAGAATAATAGACCTTGTGATGTTTGTCCTCGTGCCAAGCAACATAGGGATAGTTTTCCATTAAGTGAGAATAATGCAGCAAGTTTGTTTGAATTAGTTCATTGTGACTTATGGGAATCTTATCGAACTCGTTCGTCGTGTGGAGCACAATATTACTTGACAATTATTGATGATTATTCGCGTGCTGTTTAGGTCTATTTGCTATGCAACAAAACTGAGATCGAGACTATTTTTTTTTTTAATTTTGTGGCATTTGTTGATATACAATTTGATAAAAGGATAAAGAAAGTGCGTAGTGACAATGACACCGAATTTAATTGTCTACGTGATTATTTTTTTAATAATGGAATTATGTTTGAGACATCGTGTGTGGGTACTCCACAACAAAATGGGAGAGTTGAAAGAAAACATCAACATATTATGAATGTGGCGCGGGCACTTAGATTTCAGGGTCGTTTACCAATGCAATTTTGGGGTGAATGTGTGTCGGCAGCATGTAACTTAATTAATCGAACACCGTCTAGGGTACTGAATTATAAGACACCTTATGAAAAATTATTTGGTAAAGTCCCTAAATTTGATAACATGAAGATTTTTGGTTGCTTATGTTATGCCCACAATCAACGACGTGATGGGGATAAGTTTGCGAGTAGAAGTCGAAAGTGCATATTTGTGGGCTATCCCTATGGGAAAAAGGGATGGAAATTGTATGATTTAGAAACCAAAGAATACAATAATCTCAATATATTGAGATTATTGAGATTTATTGCATATTTTGCTCTATCTTCCACCGGTGGAAGTTATTGTTATTATTACACATTTATGTGTTGTTATTGGCTGTTGCAGTTACCTTATATTTAAGAGTCATTTATTCTTGAAATTCTTAAGATTAGTAGACATTTTTACAAAAGCCATGGGAAAAGTGCAATTTGAGTTCCTTCTTCACAAGTTGGGCATTCGAGATCTTCACGCTCCAACTTGAGGGGGGTATTGAGATTTATTACATATTTTGCTCTATTTTCCACGGGTGGAAGTTATTGTTATTATTACACATTTATGTGTTGTTATTGGCTGTTGCAGTTACCTTATATTTAGGTGTCATTTATTCTTGAAATTCTTAAAATTAATAGATTTTATTACAGAATATATAAAGATAGTCTTGTAATGTGTATATATAATAAGGGAAATGCTAACGAGTGCCCTCAGGGCATTGGTTAAGAGATTGAAAATACATTTTTTCTTCTAAATATATGGGTATTCAATGTCCTGAAAAGAGAAATAATCAGACTTTTTAAAGAATATTGTGTGTATTGAGTGAACTAAATATAACATATTTTCCTTATTTGGAATTCTTAACTAATGACCTGAGGGCACTGGTTAGCATGACCCATATAATAATCCTAAAGAATGAATAAATAGAATTCACATAATACTTTTGTGGTGAATTTTAATATTCTTTTTTTCCTTTAGCATGTCTAAATCTTCAAAATTGATGAGCTTGTCCCGAATATTTTTTTATCTATAAAGCACAACATCCAATGTTTAGCAAAGATTATTAAACAAACGAGTACAAACACCGTCAACAAAACGTAAAACCGCTCACACGTAATGACCTTAACTTCTACGATCTCAGAAATTGCTTTTCTTGTGACAATAGTGGATTATGGTTTTTGTTTATAACTTAGAAGGAGATTTGGTAGATGAAAAAATAAAAATTGATTTTGGTATGTTAACAGTAATGAAAAATGATAAATATACAGAGTACATGGGCCAGTAATGAAAACAAATTTTCTGTATTTTAGGATGATTTTCTTTCTTACAAAATGAAGGTGTGATTCACTTATATATATTTAGTATATTTGAGATGCGTGTGATAAACATCTTTAAAATTAAGAGATATTTTTTATTTTTTACGAGGGTGTGGTAGTAATCCTTAGAGCAACTTTAGTGCAAGTTTGTTAAACTAAAATTTTGTATATCTTACGTTAGTAATAAAGAATTTGTATTATAGTAGAGCTGACATGGCATCGAATGAACTAAAGTTTAGTTTCCATCATCTGTATAGTTAACGTTAACTATTCAATGAAAAACATATTATAATATTATTTAATATTAATAAAATATTCCAACGGCATTAAAGTAATTAAAAGTAATGGTAATTTGAATAAAAAATTGTAAATGTGGAGTCAAGTTTTGATTTCTTATAGACAACTATCATTAAAGTAAAAACTACTCAAATCAACTATAAATTTTTTAAATTCTACAAAACACTTTGGGCCCACAAAAATATCTTAGTTTACCCATTTAGTTTACTCCCATTAAAGATGCGTGCTTTAAATAATTTTCCAATTAAAAATGATATAGAATTGTCATTTTATGATTTTAATTTCTTATTTGTGTTGTGGTTTTGAAGTTATTATTTATATAATATAAAGTACTAATAAAATAAAATTTTAATTGAGACAACACTTTTCTG